ACACAAACACAAACAAACACACACACACACACACACACCCACACACCCACACACCCACACACCCACACACAAACATACACCCACACACAAACATACACCCACACACAAACATACACCCACACACAAACATACACCCACACACAAACATACACCCACACACAAACACACCCACACACAAACATACACCCACACACAAACATACACCCACACACAAACATACACCCACACACAAACATACACCCACACACAAACATACACCCACACACAAACATACACCCACACACAAACATACACCCACACACAAACATACACCCACACACAAACATACACCCACACACAAACATACACCCACACACAAACATACATCCACACACAAACATACACCCACACACAAACATACACCCACACACAAACATACACCCACACACAAACATACACCCACACACAAACATACACCCACACACAAACATACACCCACACACAAACATACACCCACGCACGCACGCACGCACGCACGCACACACACACACACACACTCACTGATTGTCTGTTTCAGACTTCCTTTGATGTATCCAGAAATAAATAGTGTTTGACATTGTTTATCTATTTCATTTCTGGATATGTCACTGTCTAAAGCTTAGACAGTGTCTGCGTTTAACATCTGGTGCCTCAGTTGTATATTGAAAATCGGAATTACGCACCTTCTCTCTTTCCTAGTCTAAGAATGCTCCGTATTAGCATTGTCGTCTGAATGCACTTGTAAGCTTCACGAACTGCCGTAATTTTACATTCATGAATAATACCTAATCTTTTGTTTACATTAAGAATTAGAACTGATGCGTCCCATGTAATACGTCCTCGAAATTCAAAAATAAGAAAAAGTAACCTTCAAGATATTGTGCAGTCCATTACATACTCTCAAGTACAAAAATTGACCTAGTTTTTTGACGTCTATTTTTAATATGTCGGTGACAATGTTATTTTCAACTCAAGCCCCATTAGTGTAACTTTTGTAAAACCCCCGAAATATTGTCATCATTATTGGAATAAAATAACTGCGAGAGCTTATACATTCCCGGATGAGGTCGTATATTATCCCGCTTATCTGCGGGAATCCCGCTAAATGTGTTGCACGCAAATATATTTCGGAAACTATAGCGCTGTCAGAACTCCCTCAAAATTGAATTTAATAAACAGATAAATAGAAGATCCGTTTGCTAGTGGTTATGGTCTTTTTATTACATCGCAAATACGAACGGTATGGGTGTGTTATCCGAATTTTATTGCTAGTACTAGAGTCGTTTTATGTTCCACCTGACAATTGATATTATACAGATATACATTTTCACGAAAAGTTACGATATATTAAAGTTGGGAATGGAAATGAATTGACTATAAAGTCTAAAAATCTGTCTGGATCAACGACAAAAAACGACTAGATTAATCCATTCATTCCTAATTACGCCCTTATTTATGGCAAGCATTCAGATTGGTTTTTATATCAAACAGACAGAGCTGTCGCATTGGCTGCGGTATTAGAAAGAGCGAGATGGCTGCTAATTTTAGTAGGGATGGTTTGCGTGAGTTTGTAATCTAAAGTGCGAGCACGCGATTTATGAATGAATGCGTATTTATGGCTACGACGCTTGCTTTACACTGTTGTCACAATTAAAAATAAATTGCATAATTTACTGGAATTCAACTTCAACTATGATAGTTCCAACGAGAAGATATTAAACTGATAAAAACTTATCAATAATGCAAATATACTTCCTTAGTGTAATTTTGAAAGCCCTTTGTGCGTTTTAGAGTCTTATGTTAAGTCAATTCCAAATTATAACCATAAACAGTTCTTGTAACAAGAATCTCCCATACTCTCTCATAATAATTTAACAATTACATGGATGACACCGTGAATGTTTGCATTTCTATTTTTGTAAACAAAATTAGAATAGTAGTTGTTCGTCGTTGGTATGACTCTACAGTATTCAACTGTGCGATTTTGCCCGAAAACTGTCTAAAAGCGGATTTCCACCAAACATACACACTTGTGACAGTTTTGCTTGGAAAAATCAAAAACTAATCATATACCAGAGACTATTTTGGGAAAATAGCAAATATTGTCTCCTAACTTCAAGGTCTGAAATTGTTGAAATGAAAGCGTTTAAGATTTCATGGAATCCTTTCTATACAGGGTGGGCTGCCGGTAACGCCTCGGTCTGTAGAGCTAAAACTAATTTTTTAAATCGGTTTTCACGGTCATATATGCATATCAGAAAATGCAAAACATTTCAAAGTTAGGTTTTTTAAATTAGTCACATTGCATACGAAGTTCAAAAAATGCAAATTCCTTAATGATATGCGAATATTTAAGGGTGTAAATCTACATGAATAATTAATGATAGATTGCTTTGTAAAGTATTGTTCAAATGTCGCATTTTTTTGTATTTTTCAATAATTACATTAATTTTCTCAAGAAACACAACTCAAAAACGAAGTAACGCAGGAAAACAACTTAAGAGAGCCTTTAAGTTTCAAATTGAACAGTAATTCAATAAAGAGTTTTATTTGGGAGAAAAAACATTGGCGAGATGTCGAAGTTAGTGCCCGTATGCACGGCACTGTTAAAGCTCAAGATTATTTTTGAATTGAAAAATATGCACCATTATTAACTGTAACTGAATAATAAATGTCACTGAAATATCTGAAGCTGTTACGATATTAATTTTATTTTTTTCCTAAAACTTTGGCATCCTGTATTTTCGTAACGAAACATTTTTGGACCATGGTTTATAAAGTCAAGGTCGCTGCAGAGACATGCTGCAACTGCAAGCGGGCGAGACAAGATGCAGATACACTGCCGTCCTAATGAAATTAAATGAGACAAGACACTTATTAAGCTAGCTGCTGCTGTCTCGTGCATTTAACGGCATCTTATTTAATTTCATTAGCACGGTAGTGTCTCGGTGGCTTACAGCTGCAGAATGTCTCCGAACAAGTAGATTCACACCTGGAGTGCAGAGATTAGGAGAACTATCTGTTTACAAAAAGTGTCCCTCAAAATGTATATGGCTTACTGTACCTAAATGGCGCCGAAAGTTGTGAAAGTCGATAATTCAGATCAAATAATCACTTTAATGATGTCTATAGTTTTATGTAGATTGCTCGCCCATATGTAAATAGTACACTTGAAAGTACATTTTTTTTAATTGTTTTTCAATATTATGTAAAGTTGTAGTTATTTTGGTTGTTAATGTAGTATATATTTTATACCAAATGTTAATTTTGATTTACTTGCCTAGACTTTTTATTCTTTTTGAAATAAAAATTTTAAAAAACGACTTCAAAATCGTGCAGATGACTTTAAAAATTGAATTTTTTTATTTTCTCATAGATCATCAGATCATGACCAATTGTATATGAAACTAGCCCTGAGGTATCCCTTTTTCTAACAAAAAAAGAATCATAGAAATCGGACAACGTGCTAAAGAATTCTCTGAACATACATAAAAAAAATATTCCGACGAACTGAGAACATCCTCCTATTTTAAAGTCGGTTAAAAAAAAGTTTATAAATTTTTTTGTTTATTTCTAATTAATGGATCGTTCAAAATACATTTTTCAATTTTTGGTTATTTTCCAATGTCTTGTAAAAGTAAAATTTGAAAAATATATAAAAAAGTTTGTACATCAAGTGTAATTATTAAAATTATCTATGATCTATTTTGACATTGAACTTTCACATAAACTTTTGGTGTTATTGTCCCTTTTCCACATAGGTATCTTTCATTATTTATTTTTTTTTTTTTTTATTTTAACGAAGCTTATAAATAAAAGTAAATATCACCAAAAATGTATTAATTATAAAGCTGAACAAAAAATTTCTTCTGAATTTCATCGTAAAATTTTGTTAAATTGCAATTTTTACAATATGTCTTCATAATTAGTCCAATAAATAATTATTGAAATTTTTTAATTTTACAATGTATTACATAATGGAAACCCGCCTTTCGTCGGCTGATTTACATATGTATGAGCAATCTATATAACTATATATCATTGGATCTTGCTCTTTCATTACACGAGGGTAATTATTCTGGTTACTTCAGAAAACCATATTAACTACTTTTGGGTGGACACTTTTTGAGATAACCATGTGAGAGTGTCCTTTTCAATGCACATTCACACCCTTAAATATTCGCTTATCATTAAGGAACGCCCTGTATATAAGAAATGCCAACTGCAGGCATAAAATCTCGTTTGTTATACATACTCTGATTTGGCTAGTGTTATAAAGGGTTACAATTTAAAAACTTACAGTGGCTATATCCATCGAGATAGAATAAAGTAGAGAAGACACAATCAATATTTTGGGAATTGACAGATGGACGCACTTCGAGTGACAGAAAAGTGTAATGAAAATGGGGACTTGAGTCGTACTTTGATTTATTTGAAATCAATAATTTTATATTTGAAGACTGACGGAACGAAAATGATTGTATATCATTTAAATGAAACTATTTAAAACAATTGTATTTATTCTCTCCAAATTTGACTAGCTCCACTAGCTCTAGTTTGACAAATGACTTAAAAGTGTAATGCAGAATTGTGGATACTTTAGCATCTCATGAACTAAATATGATATCAAAAAAGTAAAACTTAAACCAATTTATTTTGTACTAATAATTCTGATAAACATACCATATTCTATTTAAATGGGTTTTTAATTATTATGTACTATTGACAATTGAATAAATACATACATAATGGGAAAGAATAAGTAAGGAACTATTTATATTTTGACCAATAAAACAAAGGAAGCAATCTTCTGAATGAAAACAAAAGAATTAAGAGAAATCGATAACCTTTTAACCTAGCCATATTCATAAGTAACAACTAAAAAATTACTTGATGAAAATATATTTTTGACTAACTGACTTATTTTTATTGAATAATACATTTTAAAAGGGTTCAATATACAATTTAATAAAATAACTTACCTAAATGATCCAAATTAACTTGTCCTATTGCTCCAAAAACTCCTGTATTAGCATTGGCTGCGCTAGCTGAATCCATGACACTTAGATAATTTGAAACTGGTAAGGCTGGATGATGAGGTCCGCCAATCCCTAAAGAAAAACGTTTTTGTTATAGTCTGCCATATCACTTACCTACCTTGTTCGGAATTGCTAGTTAATGATATGTGCTAAAGGCACGGGGGTTCCTATTCACTGTTAACAGTCTTCTAGTCTTCAAGCTTAGTTCCAGAATGAAAAACATGAGATTTGATGTAGTAAATCCCATATGAAAATAATGTCTGTAATATGCATCTATTTTATAAAATATGGGATGCACTACATTATTCCAAACCAAGTGATTTTGGTTTTGAGGCTCAAAAGATTGCCTACCAAATAACATGCAATATGAAAAAAATTGATTGATAGAAAGTGATCTGATTAATTTTAAAACTAATTACCTAGAAAGATGTATATGGATGATATATCCGAACGGGAAGAAAAAATATTAGATAAAGCCTAGAATACAATAACAAGTCCATGCGTTTGATTCTTGGCACCGGCAGATCTAAAGCGGGGAGAGCAATGAAGCAATTGTCCCCCCTTGAGCCTAATAGCCCTAGTACGGGAAGGCATTGACCATTCACACCCAATAAAAAAAATCAGCCCACACTACGAACACAGCAAATTGTCCCCCTTCCCTTCTATTGGAAAAAAGTTTGATGCTGCAGAGAATAAGAGAAACTGAAATAATTAGCATGATGCAAAATTCACAATGTATTTTATATTCAATATTAGTTTCATTACTATTTATATCTTCTATCAACTTGTTAAAAAACAACTATTAAACAATAATTATGCAATTACATCTAAAAAGTGTTCAAATTACGCTGTTATTTTCTATAATCGTTAAACACGTGTAGTCATTATGATTCACAGTATGTGTGTGTATGATGTGTTTTTGTTTATGAATTGACAAGATTCAATGGTTTTCCAAGAATTAATCTGTGGTGTTCTTTTAAAGCCAACATTTTTTCTATTATCTACGCATTTACATTTTCACATTATCATAATATGTTTATTATTTACTACTTTTGGATTAAATCTAATTTAAAAATATACAGGGTGTTCCATTATGATGTGCGAATATTTGTGAATCTACATGAAACATTAATGATAGTTATAAACTATGGTCCAAAAATGTTCCGTTACGAAAATATGGGGTGCTAAAGCTTTAAAGAAAAACAAGGAAATTAATTAACATTTTGTAAACCGTTTAAGATATTTCAGTGATATTTAGTATGCAGTGACAGTTAATAAAGGTGATTTATCGTAAAATTATATTCTTCAATCATTTTTTTGAACTATACAACGGTTTTTATTTTGTTATTCAATAACGGCGCATCGCAAGATAATCAAACTGAACGGAGAATTTATAAATAATTTTTATTTGGGATAAAACCATTGGCGTGCTATTTTTTTTCTTTAAAAATATCGAAGTCAGTGCGCCCGTACGGACGCCAATGTTAAACCTGAAAATTATTTTTGTATTGAAAAATATATTTTTTTTGCAGTGGCGGCTTGTGAGCAAAAAATTGGGGGTTCATCAGATTTAGGTAAAAAACTTTCCGTTTTTATAATACACCTTTCCAAGACAGTGAAACCTGTACTGAGACCTATATTCTCTCATTGTGAACCCCCAATTTTTTGGCCACAAGCCGCCACTGATTTTCTGTACCTGTACGTGTGGAAGGTGGGTTACCCCCCCCCCACGGCACTCAGGCCTCAGTAGTTTCATTGTGCATCCTCCTAAGATGATAGGCACCTGATGACCCAACCTAGAGATTTAATGTTGTTGACAACCTCGCCAAGAGGCGCTTCTCGATTATCGGCCGGTGTTAGCCGACACTCGCCGAACACAAATCTTCTAATAAATGAGAGCGTCGAGAAATCGTAAAGGATATGCTTGATGGTCTCATCTTCTTATTCGCACCCTCTGCAGAGTGCGGATTCTGACAGCCCTATGATATGGCTATGCTTCCGTACTTGTCAATTACCAGTCAGAATGCCTGTGAGTAGGCGCAGATTATGTATAGCATTAGACTGGGCCAAAAAAATAAAACAATTTTTTTTCTTAGCGGAACTATAAAAATATTGTTCATGACGACAAAAAAAAATTTTCCTGAAAGTTTGAGCCCTTAATAATAATATTAAGAGGTGCATCATTGCAATTATTGATTTTTCAACAGTTGTCGCGTTTTTGCATAAATTTCGGACTTGGTCAATTTTAAAAAAATTTTTCATCTCTTATCCTTGTAGGAAATTAAATTCCCCACAAAAAAGCTCTCTTAGTAAATTTTCGTAAGACGAGTCTATTCTTTGTAATCTTAATATTTAAGTTCATTTTGGAAATCCCAAATGCAAAGTGAAAAATTGAAAATATATACCAATGTTTAAGGCTCGATTACAAAGAATAGACTCGTCTTACGAAAATTTACTAAGAGAGCTTTTTTGTGGGGAATTTAATTTCCTACAAGGATAAGAGATGAAAATTTTTTTTAAAATTGACCAAGTCCGAAATTTATGCAAAAACGCGACAACTGTTGAAAAATCAATAACTGCAGTGATGCACCTCTTAATATTATTATTAAGGGCTCAAACTTTCAGGAAAATTTTTTTTTGTCGTCATGAACCATATTTTCATAGTTCCGCTAAGAAAAAAATTGTTTTATTTTTTTGGCCCAGTCTACTAGTCATAGTCAAGTATTTGCTGCAGTGTTGTCAGGTTAACTTAAGAGCTCCTTGGCAACTCTGCAGTTTCTTGTTTCATCCTTTCCTTGAATTTCACAAGGGAATGTTCTTTAATTAGGTTTGTCACTACCGATTTTGTCAGGCCAATAGAAGGACCAGGTCCAAAAAGTATTTGGTTGGCTGCTATCTTGGCTAGTGAATCAGCAAGACTATTAGCTTTGGATGTGGCGTGACCTTTGATCCATCTTAAGGTGCCCACATTGTTGATGGATACTCCGGCCAAAGTTTCGTGACATTCTAGTACTAACCCTGAGTAAATTCATGGTCTGTTCAGGGTGAGTAGTGCTTGTCTGCTATCTGTGTAGATTATATTGTTTCTGGTGATTTCTTTTGCTGCTATGAGAATCCCCGTTAGCTCTGTTTGAGCTACACTGGCACTATTGCTCACAGCCCATTTTATATTTAGGTTTAAGAATCTGGAGTATATTCCAAATCCTGAGCCTTGTTTTGTTTTAGAACCATTGGTGTAGATATGAATCGTACCTGTCACTTCCGTCTCTTCTATTTGTTCTGTTTAAACTTTATATGGCTTATAGAAGATATATCTCGGTGAGATGGAGTCCATGTTCGCTTGAAGCATTGGGAGCGTATCGAGCGCCTCCTGCCAAAAGCGACGTCTCGCCTCACCAGATCCTACATCAGGTTCTATTTCAACCGTGCGGAGGGGTGTCATTGTCGTCAAAGCAACCTCTTTGATGTAAATATCAAGGGGAGTGAGACTAAGAATGACTTCCATGGCCCTGGTCGGTGTTGTTTTCATGGCTCCTGTTATGTTGAGACATGCTGTTCTTTGAATTTGTTCTAGTTTACGGATAGCTGTTAATATATACCTTTATTAACTATCACTGCGTACTCAATATCACTGAAATATCTTAAGCGGTTTCTAAAATATAAATTTCTTTTTTTTTTCCTAAAACTTTAGCAGACATTTTCGTAACGAAACATTTTTGGACCATAGTCCAAACTATCATTAATTTCTCATGTAGATTCACACCCTTAAATATTCGCCTATAAATAAGTAACCCCCTGTATATATTGTATACAGGATGTCCCACTTAAAATGAACTCTACACAGATTTCGCGGAAAAAGCCTGTTGATTTTTAAAAAATCTGAATAATATGGGGGCCAAGGGGGGTTGCAATAAAAATAAATAGAAATCCAAAATCAAAAGCGATATCAACATGAAATTTTTAGTGAAAATCAAGCTCTATAAGGCAGTATAAGGGAATGAATAAATAAATAAAATTGGAAAGATAAAATCCTAACTCAGAAACAACTTGAAATCTTCAGGAAAAATCAAGCTTTATTGGAGCTTATTGATTCTGAAAAAAATCTGATTGAAAACGGGGGTTAAGGGGGTCTGGTAAACTGTGAAGAATATAATATAGAATGCCAAGCATTATTTGTCTTCATTCTAGTTTAAAAATGCTTTGTGAATACGGAAGTTATTGTTTTCGAAATCTCGTGTCAACATGTATACAGTTTTGACAAGATCAAATCCTCGGTCTTGTTTAATAGTAAATGGCGTGCAAAAGAGGAAAGGATGTGGTATCGACGTTGCCAGTTACCCGTGGCTCGACCTGTAAATGACAAAATTGGTACTGTGTCGTGTTTTCCTGCATGTGCGAGCGCTATTTACTATTGACTGAATAAGACTTGCAATTCTATTTCGAATTTAAAGTAAGAACCATATGGTTAGGTTGAAAATGTGTGGGATGATCTCATCGCCTTCCACTGCGACCCAGATGGATCTAACTTGTTCCTCGTACAAGCCACACTAATATACAGTGTGTCCTCAGGTAGGTGTAACTACTCTTGGAAAAGGTAAACAATTCTCGATTTAAATTTTAATTTTTTAGAGTTAAAAAAATTTCCGGAAATAATTTAGGCACAACTGGTATTAAAAGTTAATCTTTAATCAAGCAGGGCTGAACTCCAAAAAATGAAAATTTTAATCGAGAATTTTGTTTCCAAGAGTCGTTTATCTATCTGTATATTATTACTATACAAAATAAGTGATGCTTAATTGTTATAGCCACCCTGGATTTAAAAACAAATTGAACGGTAATACTAGAAATTCTCCAGGTTTCCAGTTTTATTTCTTTATTTAAAAAAATATTCCATATAGTGCGCTCTATTCTTCCGCAAAATTTTGGAATATAAATATTTCATCGTTGGTTTTTTTAAGGCAAAACTTCTACTGGCACTGAACTCTTATTTCGTTTTTTTCAGTGATTTATAATCATGTAATTATTTACTAGTGCAGTAATATAATTGTCAGAAGGATATCTACTAATTCGGA